CGCAGCCCCATTTGACAAGCATAGAGCCAGCCCCACGCCGTTGATAATCAGGATGAGTGGCGAGGGTATCCAGGTCTTTGTTTCCAAGTTAATAACAATCCTTTCCTATATTGATTGTGGGATATATCATCCATACAGTAATGCTTCCCATCGCCCATAACGCGCTTCCTCTCCTTCTCCAGCGCTGTAATGAAGTCCTCGCATTCCTGAAAAGGTGAGTCCGCATGCCAATGCGGAAAGCGACGACCTCGCTCTTCTGGCATGGACAGGTCCCATTTGCCAAAGGCAACTAGCCGCGATCGGCCTTGCTCATCCTTCGAGTTGGTATCAACCACGCGCAGGTACTTTTGGTACGGCTTCGTCTGAAAGTCGCCAAGGTGCCAGTCCTGGTGCCATTTGTGCATACCGGGGGTGTTGGGAAATAGGCGCCCAATCACTGGCTGTGTGAACGCAGCGAACCATAGCTCTGTGATCGCAGGGACGTCTTCCGGGGTAGCTGGCTCCAGCACGAGAGAAGTGGCTGTTGATCCCATATGGGAATTGGTCTGAATGTGGGTTTTTTTTAAAAGAGTTTGGCGAAGGGGTTAGCGAGGACAGGGATAGTCTTGGTGCCATAATGCGCAGAAATCCTAGCAGTTCCGAGATGGTGATGCTGGAAAGGATGAACGTCATGGATGGAGGGGAAGTTAAGATCGTATGGGAGTTTCATGTAAGATACGGTATTATTCGTCAAGCAGTTGTTCTGGTAAAAAAGAAATTCTACTCTTAGAAATGAATTACTTACGCCTTATCTAAAACGGCTTAGTGTGGTTTCGGGTACGGGCCGAGAAACAAAGCTTGCTTGTCCAGGGGGTAAACTGTTTTCGATTTCTACTAGAAATTAATTCTATTGGATTTAGTAGTATCCGTCAAATACACTGTATTCGGGCTGACCATGCGCCACCAATGATAGGCGGCGGCCGGCCTAAACCGCGAGCCGTGTCGAGATCTACTAGTGATTGTAAAGGTTTTAAGGGGCATTTGCCCTCTGAACTCGTAATATTGCGCTCTGTATCTCTTGATAGTCGCGTACGAAACGAAAAGCAGATGTGAAATCCCTTGTATGCCAAATTGTTGGCCCACGCAGTAATACCTGACCTGAGAGTTGATACTGTAACAATTGCTGGGAGGAAAGACAACGTCGGCTAAAACACGCGAGTCCCTAGTCCGGCATTCCAAGCAAGATAATGTGGAAGACTTACTAGCACGCCAAGTATTGTGATTTCTTTGTTCTTACTAGGGGATTTTCCAAACTCCGAGAACCGGGACTCTCAACCCCTTTTTCCCTACTCCTGTACTATAAGCCAGACAACCCTAGCATATCTTCGCATCATCCGCTCTTTTCTCTTTTCTTCAATTACCGTGACAGATCCCTTTTCTCTACGACAGAGCCGTTCTTGTTTCCTTCGGTCGTTCGATATCCACGATGAGGTTGTCTACTTCTATTACCTTCTTTTCAATTATATCTGTCGCTTTCGGCTGGTTTGTATGCCACCCTATCTGATTTATTGCCCCAACCATTAAAGAGAATCCCCAGCTAAGCATTGAATACTTCATAGAATTGTGAATTGCCTACAGGCGGAGATTATGGAACTTGCGTTGGAAATAACGGTGATCGTGGAGATTTCGCCTGTGTCTCGGTACAGTCCATCTCAGCATCCTCGCGTCGCTTTCCCAGAGAAATCCACCTTGAACACCCTATGGCAGCGTCTTGAACACACAGAGGAGAGAGATAGAATACTAACTAACAAAATTAGACCCATCCTTGCAAAACTAGGGGAAACGGATGTATTCCTCTAGGACCCTACCTTGCCAACTGTTCCTAGTGATATGGTTGCGTTCTTAATCTGTCAGGCTTAACATCGGCAACTCTCATCAAAACAGAGTGGACCTTGCTGATTATGGCGGCTTTGCCACTGTTGCTCTCCTGCCTTGCCGCCTGCCCGTATTTTCTACCAGTGTTTGCCTCCCTCTTTCTCTTAAGCTTTTTGTACTCAGTTTCTGGCGTGGTCAAGTTGAATTTAATTTCTGCTTCAGCCTTTACACTCAGGAAGGTTCCACGCGATGCAGATGGACGGTAGATGTCAATGTTTCTTCCGTGGATGAAGTACGGAGGGCCCGAGGCCGATGCAGAACTTGTGACAGCATCATTTTATACCTAAATATCTACTGCTTCGATATCAACCCTCTGTGAGGATCCTCCATTGCCTCAGGCCTTCGAATTTCAAGCTCCGGCGTAGTCACCTCTATATTAGGATATATATCGGGAGTTACAGACCTTGTTTCATTCCAAAAACCATAGACAAGGAAGGGAAAGGCGTCAGCGATGACGACGTTAGGAATGAAGATTAAAAACGGAAACGAATAATGATGCTTGTTCTCGTCAACAGATCTTGTGGCTATCTCAGCCGCCTGCTACCACCGCTCCGCCACCGCGCCACGTGGCAAACCAAATAAGAAGTGGCGAGGTTTGAATTTGTCTTTCGCTTATCGCTGGATTAAGGAGTCTTAACTAACCAAAGAAGTTTAGTTGGCGGCTTGAGTCGAAATTTATTTCTCCATCTTTCCTGCACACACGGCTCAGAAATTTGAGACCTCTAATTAGTCCAGTCATTTGCTTCAAGCAACGTGGTCAATAATGCTATTCTCCTGTCACAGTTGTACCTAACGAGCTAATACAATGCCTATCTCCATTTTCCTGGCAGGTTGTAACTTTCCACCTGCAGGAACTGACAAGATATCTGCATTCTGTGGCGCCATGTCTGAGAGAAGGCTCATTTCCTTAATTAATCAGATCTTCCGATGCCTGATACGAACGAATACAGCTCGACATGTTCCTGTGCAGGTATAAATAGTAGTATCCCCGAACAATGCTTCTCCAAATTACCGAACATATTTACCAGGCTACTCTCTGCTTCAGCTCAACTCAACTGCATCCACAATGCTAAGCCTACTTATTCTGCTGCCTTTGATTATTCGCATCGCACATGGCTATCCTAGCGCTGCACACCCGCAAAGTGCCGAAACCCCACCGTCGCTATTCCTCAAGACTCTCAGTGAAACCAATGAAACCGTCTTTGTTCCTTATAAATCCCTTGATTTTGGCCAGTGGAAACCCGACAGCACTGTCTATGACGGTGTTCCTATGGTTGAGAAGCATACCGTTGTTGATGGCAAAAACATGACATACCAGGACTTTGATATACGTGCACTCACAACAGAGCAGGTTAAGAAGTATCTGATGTCGACTCCAGAGTTTTTCAATAGCCAGGGGAAACTATCTTACACCCTTGAAGACGTCGAGAAATACAGGTAAACACATACCGCGCTTACTTTTATAGAGCTCGAACTCACTACGATTCTGATCTAGGCATTCCTTAATCTCAGGGGACCATAATATGACTATTGCTGTGCGCAGTCGTTACGACAAAAGAATTTTACCTCACACCACCGATGTTGAGTGTGAGTTTGGCAGCAGTTCATTCTGTATACCGCAATGCAGAAGAAGCTCATCTAGAGCTGTTATTCAGTCGACAAACCCGGACGTCTATGGGGACTATCATTACGAAGGCGGCGCTTTGTGTGGCACAGGCTCTATAACAAAGAGCGTCTCCGTTACTTACGCGTCAGGGGTCAACATTGGCGGCAGTGACAATATTCCCGGGGTCAGTTTTGTGTACTTGCTGCCTTTTAAAACTGCGTATGCCTAACTTTAGCAACAGCTGGGGAAAGGGTGGACGGGCGCACTAACAAAATTCCTAAGCACCTTTGGACTATCAACTTCTCACAATGCAAACACGTGAGTCAAATTACTAACCCAATCCCGATATGCCGAATTTAGGGAGTACTGATAACCCGTCTTATTAGCGTTACAACCACTATTTCCTATTCCGGCACTTGTGGGCCACATAATGTCTGCTTTCTCTGGACGAGACCCCATTTCACCGTTGAAAAAGGAGTCGTTACTGTGAGTAATGAGCGACTATTCTTGTCACTTTTAGCTGTGTAAGCATACTGAGTAAAGCAGACTCAGGAGTTTGATATCGCCACCAATAAGGCTTGCGGCTCTCCATCTGTGACGCCGTTTGAGGCCCATATAATGCATCAGGATAGCGATGCTGGAGGCGCTGGTATGTACCTCTCCATCTCATCAGTTCCTATGTTCTGTTTCACCTGCTTTGTCTTCCCTGCTCTGCTACGTCATTGAAACAAATGATAAAAATGAAGGCTTGCTAATTGGATAGCTGACTATGGTACTTGCGATTCTATGGCGTATCATGGGTGCCCAGGCCCGGTAGAAGCGTCATCTACTCTTCCCCGCTGTCCAGATGGCTATTGAGCACTGTTGTGTAGTGACACGGGTGGCGATAATCAATCCGTCCTTGGCTCGCAGGGCAGATGTTTGAGCTCCTGGAAGTACTCAGTCTCCTGGGACCTGAATATGTGTCCCTGGAAACTGGATGGGAGTTCCAGGAACGGCATGGGTATTCCTGGGGCCTCAGGCACTCCCAGGAGCCCATACTTGAGCCCCAGGAACCATAATTCCGTACCCAGGTCCTGCAGCCCAGTCTGTCAGAGATCGAGCATATATAATAGCTTGGGTGTTTGGTCGCTGACCAAACATTGTGCCTTTTTGGCCAGATGGCGTAGTGGTAAAAACCAAGCATCCATGAACCGTCACACAGTCTTAAAGCTTCTATGAACAGATACTTTGCTTCGGGGAACTTTGGTTGCTACCTGGGGCCACTAGGGTCAGTTCCTATGCCTCGATGAGTGCTGGGGATAGAAAGGCATATATTACTACTATAAGGGGTTTCTCAATACGACGAGCACATATTAAACAGAGTTTCTCTGGTTAATGAAGATAGAAACCAGAGCACGGTCACGGAAAATATAATAAGCATCAACGGTTGATTATTCCTGAGCAAAGAAACTTAACAGAAAACCTGCAAGCCTCCCAATTAATCAGTGTAGATGTCTGATCCCGTATCTTCTTTGACATAGTAATTCCGTTCGGTGCTGAGGCGATGGATTTCTTCTGCATGCCTCCGAAGATGCATCTCATGTAGCAGATCCTCGTCACACATATAACACCTTCGATCCTGCAAGTGCTTCTCTCGAAAGTGGCGTAGGGTCGACTTGTATTCGCTATACTTCTGCGTCCGGCGATGAATAGGAAGATGGGTGTCACCATAACATTGAAAACATCGCCGAGGCTTCTTTGCCTTTTTGATGTAATTTTCGGCTTTCACAAGAAGAATATCCTGATGCGAGGGCTTTGGAGAGCTGCAACTCTTCTTGGCCGGCTCTGGGAACACGTTGGTCTGTTCTTCATCGAACCCATCACTTGGTGCAGCCCGTTTACGTCGCCCACGCAAGGGTCCACCTTCAAGGAAACAACAGTATCGGGAGATCGTAGCCACAGCAGCGTTCCTTCTTTGCCACTCCGCCTCCAGGGATTGAGAGGTAGGCCACGTGAATAATTTCTCAAGAAGATCAATCTGCTCAGGTAGCATCTGGTCTTCTACTTGAAGTACCTTCTTAGCCTCTTCGTCATCAACAGCAGCCCCCGAGAGCTGTCGCTCAATGTCTATTATGGCCTGTTTGCGGTCGAACTCATGGCGGACCTTTCGTCTCAGTGCTCTTTCCAACCGACCGAATGTATTGGAGGTTTCGCGTGTCAATTTCTCTAATCGCGATTGCATCGCTGCACTGGGGTCGCATTTGCACTCTTCGGCTTGCTCCCTCATTCGCCGAGTGGCCTCGACATATTCTGGATGTTCGCGAAGGGACGCTCGCTGCTCCGAAGTAAGATGTCGAGGGCGTCTTTTGTCAATCCACCTACTCATCCGGGTGATCGCGCGCATCAGAGACTTATTGGAGTCGCGGCCGTTCATAACGCTCTGCATATCGGTGTCGATGTGGCGTGGAAGATAATGATTCAAGAACGTCCGAGTGTCAGCGTGTTTCATAATCAGATTTTGCTGTGCTTCGCTGACCGCGCTGCTTTCGTTTAACATCTTCCCCCCTCCATAGCGAAAACGATGGGCGAACATTGACTGAAGGAAGCCGTGGATCTCCCCTAGATTTCTCAGACGTCCAGACATGGCGCTCTCGGTCATCGGTTGGTTCCACTGGAGAACCGCACGGCCATTGACTACGTCTGTCTTGCAGAAGACATAATAGTTTTCGACTTCGCGTTTCAAGGGTAGTTCCATCTGTTGTCGACCGCCTTCCACGAACAGCTTTCGAAGGCGCTCCATGGAGGAAAGCGCAGGGACTTCGAAGGCTTGAAGCCAAAAAAGTATACCGAAGATGAATGTATGAGGACTGAAGACAAGCGACGGATCGTTGATAATTTCAGGAAAAGGAAAATTGTTACTAAGAATTAGTGTTAATATTAGGATCTTCATTGCCGGGTTCAATGCATGATACATACACTTGCGAAGTTCCGAGGAATTTCTTCGTATGCTCCAACTTGATCTCCGCCAAAAGTACGGGAGGGCCTCCATCCGGATTGTGTTGTATGGAGAAATTCAGATGTTTGAATTGTAGCGAAAGAAGAGCATGCAGCCGGTTCACGGTAAAAATACCAAGCATGTTGAAGAGACAGCGCTGGATTCGTTCGTATCCAAAATGAAACCGTCTTTCCTGTGTTCGAAGAATCGTCTCGTTCAATTCAGTCAAGTCTTGGACGTACACCGGCTCCTTGCCCCGTTCTTGTTGATCGAGGTCGAATTTATCGATGAGTTTCCGAATACCCTATCCCACGGGGGTGGGTGCAGTCTACTAGACTGCAGGTTAGGGTTTTCCGTTAACTATGGGACATAAAAAGTGGGGCCCGTTAGACTGCAGGTTCTTTTCCTCGTTAGACTGGAGAGGTCTAATGAACTCCGATCGATCTAAAATTTTTATGAGTTATAATAGACTACGTGAAATATCTCCCATTCGCTTCGGAGCATGCACAGCCTACTAATTATTGAGAAAATGGCGATTGAAAATTAGAGATGTTTTGTTGGGGTGTACCATTACGGTATACGATTAGCACCTAAGACGCTACCACAGCACTCTAGACGAATAGAACAACGTCGATAATGCCAGTCTATAATGATCAGGGGGGTAGCCATTAATTCAGGGGGTTTGAAAGCTCCGTAGCTATCATCTGACTTTTCATTATACCATTTTACCCCAAAGTTAGCATTCGACATTCGTCAAAATTTCATGCAATTCATTATTACACGATATATAAGTTAACTAGTGAGTACAGAACAACGAGCGCTTACCACGGCATCGGGGATGCTATTCCAGTTTACCGGAGGTTAGTACAACTACAGCAGCCCAATGAGTGAGTCTGTTATGCCCGACGCTACCGTGGAGGAACTTAATGAATGTATTTCATTTCTTATTTGTACACATTACATTACATACTAGAACCCGTTCTATAACCCTCCTCAATCCACAGGTGCATGCTCACAATAGCTCTATTCAGTTTCACACTTAGATCTCATCAGTGCGTCTAAGCAGCCACTCAAGGTGTCTATAAGCCGCACGGGGCTGGTACTGCGGCTGCATATGACCAGACTGATGAGTCTCAACCCACATAAGACCACGCTCATAGTGCTGAACTCCCATGATACCCTGAGGCCCATCTAGATCCGAAGCACCGTTTTCGGCAAAGGCATCAGCATACAGCAAATCCGGGATCTTGATGTCAATAGGCGTAGACGGCTTCTCCTGGAAACCGAGATAACCATTCCAGGTCATGTTCTGGATAGCCATGAGCGTGCCGTTGGTGATGATGACCATATCGAAGTCACCGTTAGCAATTAGAACGCGGTTTGTGGCTTCGATGACCTGCGGTAGGACGTGCTCGATTGGATTTGCAGAAATATCGCCTTCTTGTTCGGGGCCGGCGTTTCCGCCTACGAATACGGCTTCGGCGGAGCACACGGCCCAGGTGACGTTTGGTGCGTGGAGGGCTTCTTTGACGTCTGCGCGGTCAAAGTAGACTGTTGATCCTGCTGCTTGGTAGACCAGGGAAGTGGGGAAGGCGAGGACGTCCCAGAGGAGGGGGCATTAGGTTGATCTCGTACAGGTCGAAGCAAGGGTTGATGTGGAAGACTTCGTAGTAGACGAGGTCGAAGAGGTCACAGTCGGCGTCTGTGGTATAGTTGAAAATCATTGAGGGTTGCGTTTCGGGTGGTGGGAAGGTGAGGTATTTGTTGATGAAATCCTCGTATCCGCAGGACTTGTGCTTTTTCTCGAGCTCTGCCATGAAGGATTCGTTAAAGTTGAATAGGTTGGCGTTTTGCTGGACGAAGGGTACGACAGGGATCTCTTCTTGCACGTAGTCGAATTGTCCAATACATGGGTCGTATGCCAATGCACCTGGAAACTGTCAGACTAGTTTCAATATTTTGTCTCATCACCACATACCGTCAAGGTCAAAGTACTCTTTGTCCTTCTCATCCAGCATAGCAGCGGAGATATAGGGCACATATCTTCCGGCGTAACTCTCTCCAGTGACATAGATCTTGAAGTTTTTAATCCCGAAAAGCTCCTGGAAATTCTTGAAGAATCTGATAAAGTCCTGCGCAGTCTCCTCTTGGGAATTGGCGGTTGGGGTACCAATTGAGTATCCCGTTCCAACAGGTTGATCAACCCTTCACAATGTTAACGATCAATTTCTCAATTCGATCCAAGTGAGATACAATACTCACCACAGCACATTGGTCAAGTTAACCCAAGCATACGGGTTCTCCACCGGCGCAAAAGTGCCCGGCTGCCACAAGAATCGACCAGTCTCCTGCAAGAAACTCTCCATGGAACTACATCCAGGACCACCGTTAAGCCAGATGGTGACTTCGTCAACAGGCTCGTTGATAGTAGGCTGGAAGATGAAAAACAGCGCTCGAGACTCGTTATGTTTATCAATTGGCACCAAACCAGAGTACATCTCGCCGAGATCAAAGGGAACATCGGGTAGGGAGTCCACCAAGTAAGCTATCAATCCATTAGCTCTTATCCTGGTGTTATAATTGGAGCAGCTTAACACCCACGCATAGTATTCTTGTTCAGAAAGCGAAAGTCTTTCTTCGGGTGTGATTTCTCCTCGCTTCGAGCCTCAATGGCTCGTTTAGCCCTTTCCTGAGGCACGCGTGCCTTCTGTCCGAATTTACCATGCTTGGAAGCATCCACGACCTCCGAGCCCAATGACAGGGCCAGAAGTGCGGATGTCACCACCGATTTGAGCAACATTCTCTTGGGTTTGGGGTGTGTATAGGGGTCCCGAATCAGGAACAAGGGGGAGTGAAATGTTCGTTCGCTCATTTGAGTGAGGGGAAGCACAGCTATATAACCCCGGGATTGGTGGGAGTTGATTGGAAGATTGGAGAACTTACCTAGCTTCGGAATAACTGATGCTTCTTCTACGCCCCCGCGGCACCTGTCAATTGTGATTATTCACTGATATCAGTTCCAGTGGGGTCATTGCCCAACCCCGGAAAAGGAAATTTGTCTCTGAGTCTGCTAGTCTGCCACGATTATTGTTTTGAGCATAGCATCTTTCTTGTGGGATTGCTATCTCAACGACGCTGCTGTTGGAATGAATAATTTGTGCATGGTCATGGCTGCATCTGCGGCATTGAGGGGATACACACAGATGTGACCAGGGTCGGAGCAGCGACATTCCGGCTAGATCGACAGTTATCTTTTACTTTGGGATAGTAAAGCTTGTATACGAAGAGCAGGAGCAGCTTCTAATTGGCTTGACTTGTCCTTATTCCCTCACTAGCCCGTCGGCTAAGCACCATGGCCTCCACATCCATCGTGCAGTTCAACTTGTATGAGGTTGCCTGCCGGTGGCTTGAGACAACCGGCTTGCAGCGGAAGTGTCTGTTTTCTTTGTTAAGATACTGTGGTCTCGCAGTGGTGATATCTGGGTAAATTATCTATATACAAGAAAGATGGCCGAATCACCTCGCCCCTGACTATTTTATGGCTGGAGATGCGGGGAGCAGGAACGGCCGCGTCGCCCATAAAACAATCGCAACGTGGTCGCCGAAAACGCCTTCGAACTATGTACAATTACAAAAGCAAGCATCCTCGATTAAAGCATTATTAAAGTAGCGCTCAAAAAGCCCACCGAGCCCGCTTAATTCCGCGATAAAGCAGATTCTTAAAGCGTGTCAGATTACAATGCAATCGGCAGCTTTACTCGAGAAAGAAGTACCCACATCGCTTTCCGTGTTGTCGGCTGATTTGGGGGAACACTTTGCCCCTTTATTTGATGTTGATCTGAAAGGTTATCTATTATCTACCTACTAAGCGGCGCCATTGAGGGGCTACATTTTTTTCTAGGCTCTAGCGCAAGACAGGCTGGTTCAGTGTCTACACGCTCTACCATAAGTTTTTGTATGGAGAATATCTGCGAAACTTTGCGCGAAACGAATATATTCTTGAGTGATGTGCCGACTGGGGTACAGTACAATTCGAAAAGCCGATGACAAGTCGCAACAATGAGCGATTGTTGAAGGTTTGCTCGCGACGCTCTTCATTTTGTCAGGGAGTCACAAGCCAAACCATGGGGTTTCGACGGGTCTGATCGCTATTGGATGCAGCACAGGTACCTGGCCAACGGTGGGGAGGTATTCCGCTACAATGCGATTGACATACCGAGGCACTGGCACTCCATGCTCGCTGAAGTGAACTGAAGTAAATATTATAAATCTGCCCTCGGCCCATCTCCATTAACAAACTTGATCCATCGCTGTCTCATCTCCTGTCCAACCGTACTAGCAGCAGGATTGAAGGGAATATCGACACCTTCACTCCTAGCGCGCGCTTTTGTTTGGCTATTCCACACTCCTTACACACCAGATCCGGTCACATTTCTATACGAGATTATGTTTCCTAAACATAGCCAGTGGGGAAGACAACTCTTTCTTGGCAAAAACGTTTTCTTGAAATATCTAGCCAATCAGAGGTCTCACAGCCTCGTGAATTAGTTCATCGTAATCGTAACCTCAAGCGCTACGACCTGATACCCTTTTTATAGGGGAGATGGCAGCGATGGTTGGGACGGGTGCGAACGCACAGATTTTGCCCCCTGACAGGAGAGGAACACCAAAAACCACGGCCCTCGCGGATCCGCCCCGATCCATGGACGACATCGCGGAAGGGGCCCGCAGGGTGCTCAACCACATCGAAAACAATGGCACGGAGGACCGATATGTCACTGGGTATATTCGCGCCGTCCGCCAGTACGCACTCAACGCCCAACGGGGAGACGGCCAGGGGATGGCCAAGGTGCTCGAGGCGTTGACCAAAATCAACATCGACACCGAACGTCTGAACCAGCGAATGGATACCATTGAAAAGACAACGAGCACATTATCGACGGCACTATCTACCCCCGCGGCGAACTCTGCGGCAGCGTGGCGCAACTTCCGGGCCAAAGAATGGCAGCGCGACTTGGCTACGGCTGCGGCTCCTATCACCCGGAGCGGCGGCACATCGTCACCAGGAGTACCGGAAATGGAACTTCGCGAGGACCGAGAGGTCATCGTCAAGGTCGGAATGAACCGCGAGCAAATCCGTGG